CTGGGATTTGAATTCTCCTCCCTCCCCTAGAGTTCCTGCCTCTAAGCCCCTCAGCAAGTTGCTAAGTTCTCTCTTAAAGGAACATGGTTCATGAGTGTTTTCTGAAGTTTGAGTAACTGAGGATCTGCTCAAACTTGCTGAGAAACTTTCTTTAAATATGATTGAAGCCAGAATGTCAAAGGTGGGTCACAAAACAGAAGTCAGTAGTCCTGCCTCTAGCTCCAGCCAGATCCTTTTGGTCTGCTTGTCATAACATTCAGTGTGTTCCATCAGTTTCCTTTTTAGGATAACTAACATGCGTTGGAAATTAGCATCCGTTCATGTTATCATTTCATTATTCAGGCAATTTCTAGAACCTCCCAGTCTCCCTTTTTTCTGTTTATGCTCTTTTGATTAAAGGCCACCAAGTTTTTGTTTTTTTTTTTCCTTTCCCCAAACTCTGTTTGGAGTATTAAGAATCTTCCTAATTCCTTGAGACTTAATACTTTTCTTTACCTTTCTCTATAAGAACAGTTTGACTGACTTTTGCTAGTTGTTGCCTCATATGTTAGTTGTAAAGCACACGGCTCTCTTAAGTAGCTGACGTGGACCCACCTGCACTGTAATCCTGTTATTAAATCCCCGATGGAAGGGTATCTGGGGCATTTGTTATCTTCTGTTGATCAAAGTGGAGCTGCCAAACTTGTTTGTCCTATGCCCTGCTAATCAGTTCGTGGGTTCATTGTCAGTGTTTTGATACATTGTGATTTTATATATTTTGTAAAGTATTATAGGAATAGAATTTTTGTTATCATACCCATGTTTTTTCATGCATGCATTTTGAACATGTTAACAAGACTACATTTTATTTGTTTAACCTGGGCCACATTTGGCAATGCCTGGGGGCACTAGGGTCACAGCTGGAGTGCAAAGGATGGGGTGACCATGCAGTGCAGTAATCAAACTCAGTTATAGGCCTTGCTTGCATAGCTCTGGCCTGCACTGCAGTTAGAGGCAGAAAGATAGTTTCATTTTAAAGTAGTAACCTTTGTGGGGTGCTGGTGGGAGTGGGGTTTGTACCAGACCTAAGTCCAGATCTGTTCAGGGGTTATACCTGGCCAGTGTTCAGGGGACAATTATGCAGTGCTAGGGATTGAAAAGGGTCAGCTGAATGCAAGACAAGCGCTTTAACCCCTATGCTATCTCTGGGCTCAGTCTAAAGTAACTCTGAAGAAGTTTACAATCTGCATTTGGATATGTCAGTTTCTTACTTGGTTTGTACAAACTGTTCAATAGAAATAGAACATAAGCTATAGATAGAAATTTTTCAATAATGAAAAAATACCAGAAATAGAAATAGGTGAAATTAGTTTGGCTGAATTTTATGTGTACACACACATACACACACACACACATACGCACACACAGAGTTTTTGGGTCACACCCTGCTGTGCTTAGGGATCATTTCTGACTTTGTGTGTGAGAGTGTGTGTGGAAGGGGGGGTGTCTCACATGTTAGTACTCAGGGCTTACTCCTGGCTCTGCACTTAGGGATCACTCCTGATGGATTCGGGGGACCATATGGGGTGCCAGGGACTAAATCCAGGTCAGCCTCATGCAAGGCAGGTGCTCCACCCATTGTACTATCTGTCTGGCCACTTAATCCTGGCTTTAAGCTTCTAAGCCACCTGCAAAACACAAACTCATAAGCAGTGTATATGCCACTGTCATTGTCATTGTATGCCACAGCCTTGTGAATTATACTTTGCACCAAAGTGAGCAAGTCTCTAGTTTTTCATATGACAGAATTGTGGAGCTACATAGAAGTCATACAGCCTCCACGCCTGGCTGTCCTCACTGGGACCCCTTGGAGGAGGGCGGGTTGAGTTTCCCTCCCCGCCCCGAGCAGAGCTCTGGCAGCTGAAGACCTCCGGTTCCAGCTACAACCATGCTTAAGACCACTTTCCACACGTTCGGATGAGCCTCATGCATGAAGGAACTGGCAGAGGAACCCAGAGCTTAGATCTCCAAGCCTGCTCTGATCGGGACTGGGCTTCCTCCACCTAGATCCCCCATCTTCCAGTATGTAGGCGTTACACCCACCAACTGCCCCTGGCGCCGTGTAATCTCATCAATGGCCAAGACCCAGAGACTTTAAAACCCAGCTCCTGAATGCGACATTTTATTATCTAGTTCTTACTCTGGAGAACCTGGCAAGCTACTGAAAGTATCCTGCCCACACGGCAGAGTCTGGCAAACTCCCTGTGGTGTATTTAGTATGCCAAAAACCAGTAACAATGATGGGTCTTATTCTCCTGACCCTGAAAGAGCCTTGAATGTGGCACTTTCTAAAATCTCAGAGCTAGGACGAAGGAGACGTTACTGGTGCCTGCTCGAGGAAATCGATGAACAACAGGATGACAGTGATACAGTAATACATAGTAGTGATTAGCTGTTGGGAACTGTCATAAGTTGCCGGTGCTCAGTGGGCTGAGCACCTGTCTGTGTGCGGTAGATCGGGTTTGATCCCTGGTCCTGTGCGCCTCCCAAACTGTGGAGCAGAATGTGGTCCCCATACAAGAGCCAAAGAAAAGTTCGCCACCAAAATGAGAAGTATGGGGCCTTCGCATGGTCTTCCTGCCAGGAGAGGGCAAGTAGCAGTGGCCCTCTATGGATACTTTCAAATGAGTGCCTAAGTGTTTGTCTTGTTGGGGACTGAGTACTATTCCAGAGTCTCTTCATAAGTGTCTCTGTTATCCTCAGAAATTGTTAATGTGTTTCTAAAAAAGTGCTTCGCATTGCTGGAGCACATGTTTAGCATGTGGGAGCCCAGGGTTTGGTTCTGGCACCACATGCTTTCCTGAACACCTCCAGGTGTGACTCAGACCAAAAAAAAAATCTTGTTCTATAGGATTCTTGTTAACTTTTTCCAAACTATGTCCAGTGATGCATAGGAAGGGATTGAATGTAATGGTGAGAGCTAGTGTTCATCTGTGGGGCTATCCAGCAGTCTCAGAATTACAGACTTCCTTGTGTCAGCACTGAAGATTTGGGGACCTGGGCTGGGAATGTGAGTGGACAAGCTGAGAAACCTAAAAAAAAAAACCTAAAACAAAACACCCTTTAAAGCCCCATCAGGTAGCAACAGTTCCATTGGATTTTTGTTTTTATTTGGGGAGTAGGTGGACCACAGCTGGTGACCGAGGGGCTCTTCTTGGCTCTGCTCAGGAGTGACTCCTGGCTGTGCTCAGGGGACTGTATGTGGTGTTGGAGATTTGAATGGGGGTCGCTGCATGCAAGGCAAGCACTGTAACTATCTCTCGCCTTCATTTTATTTTAAATCACTGGGAGTTGAACACACCTGTCCTGAGGGTTGATGTTGGCCCTTGGTCTCCTCAGTCTGAGATCTAGATGGGAGCACCTTGGCAGTCTCTAGCAGGGCTTCTTTTCAGTTGGGAAGAGAGTCAAGTCATACAGACATGAAATAATAGCTCGGAAAAGATTTTTTTTTTTTTATTGCGGGGTAGGCAGTAGGATTATAGTCTTGTTCAAATTTCTAGTATTGAAGTACAAAGCTGCTGCCACCGTCATGCCCGTGACCCTCCCCTGTTCCCATGTTGATAGTGTCCCCATCATTAGCGCCTTGGTGGGTACCGTTGGCTGCACTATTGGTGGGTACCGTTGGCTGCACTATTTCCGCACACCTGTGTTTCTGTCAGCCAACCTGGTTGGGACCCCCCACCCCCGCCAAAACCCCAAACTGGCGCACACACACCTGTATTCTCAAATCCGAGGCTTATTATCACTTGTCCATTCCCTTCATCTATTTCTCCATATGGCACTGATGAGGGAGACCATCCTGTATTTGTCCTCCTTCCTCTGGCTTATGCATCAGCGTGAAGCCCTTTCATCCCATCCAAGTTGTGGGAACTACATTACTTTTCCCCCTGGAGATGTATAGTATTCCTGTGCATGTATGCGCCACAGACTTCTTTATCCAGTGCATCTGACACTTGGGTTGTTTCTGTGTCTGTCTATTGTATGAAGAACTGCAACAGGTATGCACATACCCTTTCAAATAAATTGTGTGTGTGTGTGTGTGTTTGTGTGTGTGTGTTTTGTTGCTGAGCTTTGTGAGTGCTTTATAGGTTCTGGATGTTAGTCCTTTATCTGAAGTATTCAAAAATTCTTTGAAAAGGCTGTTTGTGCTCCGTACTTTGTGATTAGTGTATAGAACATAACTTAGTGGCAGGTCTCTTAACTTCCGTCATTTGCTTATTGTGAAAGGGAAGCTGACTTGTGTGTTCTCCTTCCCTCTGGTGGTTGTCCTCATTGTGTGATGGGAGGCCACTCTTGGTTGTGGTGACTTGGATCCCCCAGAGCAGAGCTGTGGGGGCCACACTTGTGGGCTAGTACTAGCATTGCAGATTGGACAGCAGCCTCACGGCTTCAGACTTGTAGACAGTTTGGCCTCTGAGCTATCCCTAGGCCCAACTGCCCTACCGTTTAAACATGTGGGAGTAAGTGATACTCAGAGCGAAATAGGACAGTGGTAGAATAACAAAATACCTGATTTTGGGGGCTCCAAATAGTACTGGGTTAAGGTGCTTGATTTGTAGACAGTCAACTCTGGTTTTATTCCTGGCACCTCATATGGTACCCTGAGCATCCATAAGAATGACTCCTGAGCACAGAACTAGGAGTAGCTCCGAGTATTGCTGGGTGTGGCTCCCAAACCCAAATGAAATGATCTGATCTCTGTGGGCATAAGGTTACACCTACTCATAATGCTGCTGGTTCGTTGCTGCATTTCTAATAGAAATTAATTGTCAAATAATAACTGGAAATTAGCTAGAACAGGTTTCTTCTCTGAACTGTACTTAGTGACTCCCAATAAACCTCACCTTAAGAATCCTTGATCCAAAATAAAACCTAAGGGTGGTGACATAATGTTATGGTGTATAATTCAGCAGGTCATCATTTTGATAGATGAACTGACTTGATTTCTTGGTTTTCTTTAGAACGCTATCATTTGTCTTACAAGATTGTGCGGACGGACAGTCGCCTGGTTCGTAGCATTCTGACAGCCCATGGATTTCACGAAGTAAGCTCTTTTTTCACTCCTTTCCTTAATCTTGGAACTTGAAAATCTTAGCCCCCGACCACTAGTGAACAAGACCCGCTCTGGAAACCACATGGCACCAGTGCTGTGTGATGATGTGGAAACTGGATTGAATTTCAGTGTGGTTTTACCAGCTTCTCCTTGATATAGTTAAGAATCATTTCCATAAGAATTTGTGTATTAGGGATGGAGGTAGGGGCTAAGAGACAGCATTATTTTAAGGAAATTGCCTGATACACAATTAAGGATCTTTGATTGCAAGTGATAGGAACATTCTGCCCAACTTAAACTAAAAGAGATATGTAGGGAGGTTGGCTAGCAGAGCCTGGGAAGCCCTGTGGCAGGCCTTAGGGAGGATGGAGACCAGGTCAGCCCTGCGAGTGTAGGAGCAGTAACTGCAGGATGGGGTCCTCCAGGGAGGGCCCAGGAAGTGACTTTATGCAGTACCCCTTTGCCTCTCTCTTCTCAAGAAGGATATTCTGCAGGCGGGATGTTGGCCCAGATTCAATCATGGAACCATTCCTTGGGGAAAGGAGAGATAGGAGGTGTCTGATCCTTTAAACCCAAGGGATATATGGTTCCCCAAGAAAGTTGGGAAAGTTGGGACATGGACATCAAAAAAAGAATAGACAAAGGTTCTGGGCTGACTCCCAGCATCTTTGAGATGCATTGAGACATAATGCTTAGTTTGGTTTCTAGCTCCTGATCTTGGGTTCAAGTTGATGTAGACATTGGAGGCAGTCCTTATAGCCTGTCTTGTTGCTCCTTCATGTCTCGGGCTTACCATATGGTGCCCATCACACTATAGGCACAGAGTCCAGACCTGTCCCTTCAAGACAGAATGCTAAAGAGAGGATTCTGAGTGGGTTTGCTGATAGAGGTTTTAGCTCTGATCATGCATTATTCCCAATGGCTGTAAAGATGCATTGCCAGCCTGAGAAGGGGTGTGCTGGTGGGTCCTCAACTCATACTTGTATGGGCAAGAACACTGAGAGACATGGTGGGCTCTGTGTGGAAGGTCTCTCTCTCTCTCTCTCTCTCTCTTTCTCTCTCTCTCTCTCTCTCTCTCTTTCTCTTTTTCTCCCCGCCCCCTCTCTTTCTCAACAACTTGCTCATTGTTTACACTTGATATCCCCACATTCTGTCTACTTAGCCTCACTCTAATAGCTCACATACTATCTGGGCCACCTATGTGAGAGCTTGGAGACAGAGAATTCTCCCTGTCCTTTTCTGCCCTTGCTCTTTCCGGAGAGAGGTGAGCACTGATGCCTTTTGCTTCTTGTCTTCAGGTTCACCCAAGCAGCACTGACTATAACCTGATGTGGACAGGGTCCCACCTGAAGCCCTTCTTACTTCGCACCCTCTCTGAAGCACAAAAGGTTAATCACTTCCCCAGGTAATGCTCTTGGGGTTACTCCACTTATTTATTTATTGCTTTATTGTTTTTTGGTCTACACCCAGTAGTGCTCATTAGCTATTCCCAGCTCTGTGCTCAGGAGTGATCCCTGGAGGCATTCGGTAGACCATCTGTGGTGCGTGGATATGACTGATCTTGCAAGGCACACACCTTCCTGCCTATTATGTCTTTCTGGCCCCTGGAGTTAGTCTGTTTTAAGGTCTCTGACTTTGGGCCTGAGTCAGCAGAAGTAATTAAATACCATTAAAAAGAAAATGGCTGTGATATGGGGCAGCAGTTTTCAGAACAAACTGAGTGACTTATATTTTTGAGCACATATTAGAAAATATATAGGATTAATAGCACTGTCCTCCCGTTGTTCATCAATTTGCTTGCGCGGGCATCAGTCATGTCTTCATTGTTAGACTTGTTGTTACTATTTTTGGCATATTAATATGCCATGGGGAGGTTGCCAGGCTTTGCCATGTGAGTGGGATACTCTCGGTAGCTTGCCGAGAGGGATTGAGAAATCAAACCCGGGTCAGCCGCATACAAGGCAAATGCCCTACCTGCTGTGCTATCGCTGCAGGATTAATAAAAAACAATATATAAGTACAAATATAAAATATATCACTGTATCACTGTCATCCCGTTTGCCAATTTACTCGAGTGGGTGCCAGTAACGTCTCTATTTGTCCCAGCCCTGAGATTTTAACAGCCTTTCCTTACTCATCTTTCCCAACAATTGGAGGCTCTTTCAGAGCCAGGGGAATGAGACCCGTTATACTTACTGGTTTTGGCATATTGAATATGACATGGGTAGCTTGCTAGGCTCTGCCTGTGCTGGTGGGATACTCTTGGTAGCTTGCCAGGCACTCTGAAAGGCATACATATTTATATTTATATATTTATATAAAGGCATATATAGTTCTCTCTATGATCTGTTGCCTACTGTCTGAACTCCATCAAACATGGTGTGGTAATTATGGACAGTGGGTAGGAAGTGTCCCATGATGTGTCCGTGGCTGCGGCCACGCAGTCCGGAAAGTGGCCTGGAGTGTCACGGCGGTTGGGTTAGTGGAGGTCAGCAGTAGGGGCTGGGTCCCTTGAGATGGGGAGGGCTCTTGCCCACCCACCCTCTGGGGTGCCCGAGTGGAAACAGCCTGGCACGGAGTCCGGTGGCATGGTTATGGGGGCCTCCTTTTATACTCCCGACTGGGAGGAGCAACCTTGAATTCTGGAGGGTGGTTGATGAGGAGATTATTTGGTGCCAGCACGGTGTGGCTTATGGGTGTGACCCCTGGGTCCCATTGAGTCCAGAGTCCAAGGTCACAAAGTTCCGGACTCAGAGCCAGACTGTTTCCACTAGAGGCACCCCCGAAGGGGGTGGGTAAGAGCCCTCCCTGCCCCAAGGAACCCAGCCCCTACAGCCGACTTCCATTACCCAACCGCCGCCACACCCCAGGCCACTTTCTGGACGCTTGGGCCGAGCTTCACGCAAGAGTAAAGTCCCATGGAACCCAGGTAATAAAATATATAAAATTTATAAATATATAAGGCTCTATATGTTTTTGTCCCACACTTGCTGTGATCAGGGCTTGCTCCTGGCTCTGTATTTAGGCGTCACTCCTGGCAGGGCTCAGGGGATCATATTGGGGACAGGGAATTGAACCCAGATCAGCCGCATGCAAGGCAAGGGTCTGTACTATCTCTCCAACTTCAGACATGGATGATTTTTAAAGTAGACGATTTCTAGATTTTAAATTCTGTAGGTTATCTTTCCTAAACTTGAGCTCCCAGAGACTTTCATGTGGGTGAATTCTCCTTCCTCATCTCCTTCTCTGTTACCGTTTTCCCCTTCATAAAGGAATACTCCACCTGGACTCTTCATAGGGTGCTGCTTTTGGTTCAAAAACTTACCAGATTTCCAAGCAGAGGTTCCTACTGCCCTCACCACACACACACACACACACACACACACACACACACACACACACACCCCACCCCATTCTGCTAATGGCATGAGAAATCCTTTCTACCTTACAGTGATTTCCATTTATTTGTTTGTGTTAGAGTTGAAGGACAACATAATTGAGTTGTGAAATGGTCACTAACTAAGTTTTTTATGATGTGGTCTTGTGGTCTGCTGAGTGGCCTTGGCCAGCTCACCTTTCTGAGCATCTGTTTCTTCATTATGTGGCTAAAAAAGAAAGCAACAGTACACTTTCCTCCTAGGACTGTTAGGAGCATTTAGCATGCCAAGATCTGGAGTCCTAAGACCAGAGGAAGCTGGCTGTCCATGGAGTTGGTGCTTTGTCAGTGTTGGCTATTATTTTTGTGACTAGGTCCTTTGTTTTTATATCTGTGACAAAGAAAATAGGGTTTTGTGCTTAAGCCCTGCTTTCTTGTACCAGTGGCACTCAGCCACAGACATCCCTGTCCTCATGGAGAGGCGGGGAAAGGAAGAGGGGCCCGAAGGCGTCAGGGGTTGCATGTTGTTTTGTTTCGTTTCCAGGATTTAGGTAGGCCACAGTAGCTCCAACACGTGTTTGATTTTTGGTTACTAATATACGCATACTCTCCTCCTCATCCTTTGAAATGAAGACTCTTGTTTGATTTTTCATTTCTCCTGCCCCGTACCCAGTCATCTTGTCTCAATACCTCGGCTGCATAGCCACCTTACATGAGGTGTCCTCATGATTTGGGATAAATGTGATTTTCAGGCTTCCTAACAAGTTGTGGTTTTGTTGTGTCTCTTCACTTAAGCCCTATTTTCTCTTCATTGCCTAGAAGCGGGGGAGTGGATGGTTTATTGGATTTCTCCATGTGGAACAGGATGCATAGAGGGAATCAGAATCATCTGTTTACAGTGGACTTTTAAATAGTCTTTAAAAAGCCTCAAACTAACACTGCTACCAGAAAATAGGAGAATGATGCAGCCTTGGGTTAGGGAGTGATTTCTTTGTTCTGTGGCTCGGGAATAGAGCGTAACCCACATGTGCCCCCACAGGAGCAGCACACCTTCCAGGCAGAACCATCAGACACAGTCTGCAGGCTCTGTTTTGTACTAAATTTGGGGGTGCGGGGGAGTATGATCAGGGCAGTACTCTTGGGGTTGACAATTTTTCTGCCACTGAGCTTAAGCCCTGGCCCCAAAGCACAGTCCTTTGGGAATAAAAACGATTAAGTTGGGCTTCATTAAATTGGAAAGATCTGCTCTTCACAGCCAGGCACAAGCATCACCAAGAGTCTCAGCTAGGTCCTCAAGTTCTGCCCTGTATACCAAATAAAATGTTTGCTCTTAAAAAAAAAAAATTCAAACAAAACAGAAACAAATGCTAAGAGATGGGGTTGGAGTAATAGTGCAGTGGGTAGGGCACTTACTTTGCAAGCCACCAGTCTGGTTTGATCCCCGGCATCCCATATGGTTCCATAAGCACTGCCATGAGTGATCCCTGAGTGTGGCGCCAGCAGTAAGCTCGAAGCACCGCTCGCGGTGGCCCCAGAACCCAAATAAATAAATAGGCAAGCCCTGCTAAGAGAATGGAGAGACAAGCCATGGAGTAGGAGAGAAATATTTTTAAAACGTGTATCTGATTAAAAAAAAAAAAGGCAATCCAGAACATCTTGCAACTTGGTAAGAAGAAAACAACCCATTTTTTCAAAAGGGGCACAAGCTCTTTTTGAAAGACGATCATCATCACTTACCATTAGGGAAATGCAAGTTACAAACCTCCTGAGATGACCAGTATAGACCTAGGAGAGTGGACGATCCCAAGTCAGGGTGCAGTGTAGCCCGTGCTGACAGTTCCTGAGCTGGAATGAGGAAACGGCCAATAGTTTGGCAGCCTCTTACAAGGTTAATTATGCTTTCATGGGGGTTTAAAAATATGTGTTGTCATGGGCACTTTATTTATTTATTTTTAATGTGCACATTTTCCTTGACATTGAGCTCATTAAATTTCTATTCATGAGGATGGTTGGACTCAGTGATTTGCTCTCACACATGGAATGTGGCAGAAGTGACGGCGCGTCACGGAGACCAGATTGTCAGTCACTTGATCAAAGCGCGGCAGCTCTTTGCCTCATTCTTTCCTTCTTGGATCTCTGGATCTGGGAGAAACCAGCTGTTGTGTCAGAAGGTTCTCCATCAGCCTGGTGGAAAAGTCACGAGGGGGGCAGCAGAGGCTGACTGCTAGCTCCCAGCCCTGTACGAGAGAAGCGCCTGCAGAGTGGGTGCTCCAGCTCCCAGCAGGCCTGGTGACTGCACCCCCCAGGGCCTTGCCGCTCCGTCCCTCCCACCACCTGTTCAAGCAGGTTATTACTGCCTTAACTGTTACTTTGGTGGAATTTATTATGCAATGACAGATAACTGTAGCGACTTCCTCAGCAGTCTTTCCAGACCCAGACTTTTCGAGAGAGGAAGACTTGTGGATGGGAAAACACACCAAAAACTTAGGGCAGCTTACAATTTTAAAGACACCCACATGTAGATGCTTATAGTGACTTTTCATGATCTTCAAAACATGGGAAGGAACAAGCCGATGTTGGGGAGTAGAGAGCCAGGTTGGCGTGTCACTGAATGGATCACTGCTGAGCCATATGAAGGACTGGAGGGCGGATGCACGCAGCTCAGCACAGCTCCCTGCCCAGCAGGCGGGGGTCGGAAGACGGACTGTGGAGGAGCATTAGCTGACCTGAGGGCACAGGCACACTCAGGGCACTGAGAACAGCCCCGTGTTTGCGAGAGTGTGCAAACTCTCATTATTAGAGGGGTCACTTTCCGGGGATATTGGTATTTTTCTGAAGGGATGGGGGTGTTTTGGGACCATTCCTGGTGGTGTTCTGGGGATACTCCTGGCTTGGTGCTCGGGAGTCCTGGCTGTACGGGGACCATCTGGGCTGTACGTGCTGCCTGTGATGGAGCCTGGGTCAGCAGCACGCAGGGCCAGCGCCTCCCCCTGTGCCGAGTCTCTAGCCCTGTCCGCTGTCTTGACTGTAAATGGTGGTTATTTATGTAAGTATATGCATGTGTTCAGACTCATAGAACTGCATGCCCAAAAGGACAAATTTGACTCTGCATAAATTATACCTTAATAATAAACTTGACTGAAGAAATCTTCGTCATGAAAATGACTCGCGTTCCTGCTAGGTTGCCATGGGGGATAGATTAAGGCGAGGAAACTGCCTTGAGTAACAGCTCTCGGATTTCGTGCTGGGCTCAGGCAAGTGTGTGTCAGGCTGCTGACTGGCAATCCCGTGTGGTTTCAGGTCATATGAACTCACCCGGAAGGACCGACTGTATAAGAACATCATTCGCATGCAGCACACTCATGGATTCAAGGCTTTCCACATCCTCCCCCAGACCTTCCTGCTGCCGGCCGAGTACGCAGAATTCTGCAGTAAGTGCCTGCCCCTCACCCCAGCCCCAGGGGTTGCCCTTGGGACAAATGGACACCGCCCCACCCCCCACCCCCATTCCAAGCTGTCCAAATCCAGAAGTGATGTTCCTTAGCAGAACGGCTTCAGGGAAAAACAGAAAGCGGGCTTTTTTATTTTATTTTATTTTTCTGTGTATTTTGGGTCCTACCTGGAAGTGCTTGGGGCTGATTCTGGGTTCTGCATTCAGGGGGTCACTCCTGGTGAGCTCGGGGCAGCACATGGAGTGCCGCAGATCGAACCTGGGTCGGCTGCCTGCTATGGCTCTGGTTCCAAGACTCTTGTTTTGGATCCTGATTGTGTATGCTGATCTTAGTAGCATCTTGTGGTTGTCGCATATAATGTTCCTCTGGTTTACAGAGGTCTCCTCTCAGAGGCAAGAGAGCCATGATGGTCAGCAGTGGTAGCAGGGTTACCTGGGGGTAGGCAGTAGCCAAACTCTCGCACCGTAGCCAGAGGTCAGCAGTGACAGAGATTTGGTGACAATGTTTAGGGGTGACATATGTGGAATATGGCTGTGGTGGTGAAGGGGAAGTGAAAGCCTCCGGGGGAGCACTTATTTTCAAAATAATATTGACCAAGGCCAGAGAGATAGGACAGGGGTTAAGGCACTTGCCTTGCAAGCGGCTGGCCTCATTTCAATCCTTGGCGCTGCATATATGGTCCCCTGTGCACTGCTAGGAGTGACTCCTGAGTACAGAGAGCCAGCTGTAAGCTCCGAGCAATTTCACGTGTGACCTAAAAGAAGTAAACTAAAAACTGAGTATTGACCAGTAGTCAGAATATCTGAATTAAAAATCATTGGTGATCAGTTCACTCTGAGCTGCAGTTTCTTTACATGTCTAGAGAGAGAATTTCTATTTATTTCATTTCTATTTATTTATTATTTGCCAGTACCAGGGATTCAGTTCAAGTATTTGGTAAGTAAAGCATGCCCTTCACCGCTGAGTCACATACCTGGTGCTATAATTTCTAATTTTTTCTAACTTTGGTGGAAGGTTGTTCTGATTTGAAAAAAAAATGAGATGATGTATTTTAACACAGTGTTTATATAGTTGTGTGTGGTATCTATCCATCCATCGCCATGTTCTCAAATGGTCGAAGAGCAATAATACAGCAGGTAAGGCATTTTGCCTTGCACACGGCCGACCCAGGTTTGATCTCTGGCACCACATATGGTCCGCCCAACCCGACAGGCGTGATCCCTGCACGCAGAGCTGGTGTTGCAAAAAACAGAACAAAACAAAAACTCCTCATCATCGTAAGGGAAATGAAAGCAGTATATCCCAGTTGGCCGTCTTTCATGCGAGTGTTGTCAGTAAATGCTCAAAGTGTCTTCAATAACTACAATATAGTTATATATCATTTTAATATATATTAACTGGTGTGTAACAGATTATGTAATATATTCTGCCTGTGAACTTGACTTCGGACTGCTGTGACATGTATTCTTCAGGGTAAAATGAGACACATCTTAGGGACCCAGGAATTGGCTGTTTCGCTAGCGCCACTCTATAGATCCCAGCCCCACTGGCTGCTTATTTCCTTGGCTTTCAAGGGAACTTGCTTGTCCAGGTTCAGGCAGAGAAACTGGACTTTGCCAGGCTTTTCTCTGTGGGAACAGAGCCTGACTGAGTGGCTGATATCAGGGAAGAGGCTCAAGGTCAGCTTGGAGAAAGGCTCCAACCGCCAAGCTTGTGGTTTGCATCCCCAGCACTGCATGGTCCTCAGCCCTGCTGGGGGTGAGTCCTAGGAGTGGCCCCAAACAGAGATAAAAGCGAATCTAAAGATGGGAGAAGGTGAGGGGCAGGTCTTCTAGAATGTTCTGCTTTGTGCGTCTTCTCAGTATTTCCTTATGTGGATCAGCTGTCTGTATCCCACGGCTCTCAAGCAAAGCTATGGCTTCTGGTTTTGTACCTCTCATGAGTTGACAACAGCTTTTCCATTTTAGTTTTTGGGCCACACCTGGCAGTGCTCAGGACTTAACTCCTGACTCTGTTCTCAGGACTCACTCCTGGAGGAGCTTGGGGGATCATTTGGGGTGCCAGGGATGGAATCTGGCTTTGCTGCGTGCAAGGCTAATGCCTCATCCACTTTACTATTGCTCTTTGACCACGGAGATATAGATAGATACCACACAACTATATTTTGGGCCATACCTGGCTTTGCCCAGGGCTTACTCCTCAGTCCTGGCAGGCTCCGGCATTGAACCTCTGTTTGCATTTGTAAGGGTGGCCCAAAATGTGAGCTTTGTAGCAGCCATCCTCCAGGGAGAAACATGGAAAATTCCTGGGTTACCTAAGTAGATAACCATGGTTGGAATGTAAGGTGATAAACTCATGCCTTTATTTTCCTTTGTTCCTTTCTTATCTCTCGGTATCTTGAGCAGATTCATACTCAAAGGATCGGGGACCTTGGATAGTAAAACCAGTGGCCTCTTCCAGAGGGCGGGGTGTCTACCTGATCAACAATGTAAGTGTGCTGGGGGGCCCTGTCCCTTGTGTGTTCTCTGCTTCCGACTGTGCCTGAGCTACCGGTACCTCTCACCCATCCTTTTCACTAAGAACAGAGGCCTGTTGGCAGGCCACAGTCCCAGCTGTCCTGGGGCTGAGTTGGCTGCTGTAGACCTTGCTGGTGACACCCGCTGTCTCCCATGCCAGCAGTTACTTGCCAGTGAAAAAGTCACTGGATCTGGTGTCAGGGAGGGCAGCCTTTGGTGTCAGCCAAGAAGGTGGCACCTTTCTTTGCTTCCTGTGTACTGTCGGGCGGATTCTCAGCACTAAGTGCTCGTTGGTAGTCTGGACAGTGGGTTCCTACCCTGGAGGTCATACAGGATGTCAGTCTGAGTTTGTTCAGACACCCATGCTGCTGTTTCTCATCATCCCTCCCTTCCTCCCTCTTTCTAACTTTACCGTCTTCCTCCTCCTCATCTCTCTCTCTTTTTTTTTTTGCAAATGTCATCTTGATGTATTGTAATAACTAACAACATCAAAAAATGGTAGTTGAGCCAAATACATAACCCAAATACATAACCATAAGGTAAGGAAATTCACCACCCGGACCCCCTAAGGTAAGACAGTCCACTGTCCAGGCTCCCTAAGGTAAGACAGTCTACTGTCCAGGCCCCCTAAGGTAAGACAGTCCAATGTCCAAGCCCCTAAGGTAAGACAGCTTATTGTTCAGGCCCCTAAGGTAAGATAGTCCACTGGCGAGGCCCCTAAGGTAAGACAGTCCACTGCCCAGGCTTCCTAAGGTAAGACAGTCCACTGTCCAGCCCCCTAAGGTAAGACAGTCCACTGCCCAGACTCCCTAAGGTAAAACAGTCCACTGTCTAGACTCCCTAAGGTAAGACAGTCCACTTTTCAGGCCCCCTAAGGTAAGATAGTCCACTGCCCGGACCCCCTAAGGTAAAAGTCTACTGCCCCGCCTCTTTTGTGGGCAAAAGAGGCACCTTTTTCTCTGTCAGTTGAGTTCATAGACAATTTTCCCAAACTACCCCCACCCCAGTCTGTTGCCAGAGTGATTGCTAAGGGGAGACCTTGAATGTGAGAAGACCAGACATGGTCTTAGCATTCCCGCTGGCAGACATTGGAGCTGCTGAAATTCTAAGCATGGCCTTTGTCCCAGCAGTGGAGCATCTGCCCAGGGGCCCAGCAGCCACAGCACTCAGGGAGCCTCATACATGGACCTGGCTCTGCATCTATCTCAGTGAGTGCCCAGGCTCCTGAGATGGGTCTTTTGTGCTAAAGTCATGCCATCAGCTGGTTGAAGTTCTGGTTGGTTTCCCCACTATACATTCCCAGGATCCCAATCATCCTGCTGCAGCATTCGCTTCTACGTAACAGCTCCAAATTGGAGCACTTGTTTTTGTTCATCATTTCTTTTTCCTTCTGTTTGTTTTGTTTCGTTTTGGGACCACATCTGGCAGTGCTCAGGGCTCTCTCTCGGTCTCACTCAGGGATCACCCTTGGTGGCCTCAGGGACCATCCAGGAATGGAACCAAGGTTGGCCAAAATGCACAGCAAGTACCTGCTGTACTATTGCTCATCATTTTACGGGTTTATGACATTTATACTCTTCTTCAAGAGTTCTGATTCCATTTTGCTGCTCCACTGAGGAAAACCTTAATGCTATTATAGCACTCAATGCTGAAGTTTATTTACCGGTGTTTCAGTCTGGACCTTTTTCATTCTCTTGCCACGACTTTGGACTGGTCCTTCTGGTTTAGAAATTAGGGTTTTTCTTTAGTTCGGGGAAAATTGTCCCTGCTTTTGTTCTTCATTTCTGCCTTTTGAACTTGCTTTGAAAGTGTCTGGGCTTTTCCTCCATGTCAACTCATTTTTAATTCTTTGTCTTTCCCCTCCTGCATCTTCTGGTTTCTGTTTATGTTCTCACAGAACCATCCATCTATTGTATTTCTGTAGCAGCCCTCAGTTTCCAGAACCTCTCAGTTCCCTAATTTACTTTTAGAAAAGTGTTTTTATTTTAAATGCCAGCCTGTTAATACTTAATAATCAAAGTTTTACCTTTCTGTGGATCCCAACTGAGTTTGCTTGTTTGTTTTTTATTTTTTTAAGTTTCCTTCTGTTCTTTACATTTTCTTGGGATCATCTTTTTCCTCCTGCTGTTGAGCTTTCTCAGTTTTGATGATGTTATGTGTTGCATCATAAGTATGAGCAAAAGAACATATTGGTTGCAGTTGGCAACTGAAGGGGCCAGATGTGATATCTCTGTTATAGAGCTTTGCTTTCTGGGTCCATCTTCAGCACCCTCCCCCCCCCCCCCCCCCCCCCCACACACACACACACATACAGAAAAGTAAGATAAGGAAAGAATTATTTTGTATTTGATAGTGGGCTCATCAGAAGAGTCACTGCTATTGCTGACGTGTCACCTATATTACAATACTAAAAACTTGTTTAAAAAAGGAGAAAGGAAGAGTGAGCTGGGCCCCTGGCCTGGGTCCGCCCTGCTGTTCCCTTAGCGACCTCTCCTGGAGAGGCTGGTGGAGCTTTGTGGGATGACAGAGCACTTTGGCTCCCCCCTGGGGAGCAGGCGTGGGAGGAGTGTCCCTCCTCCCACCCCACTGGACAGGCCACAGCCCGACTGGAAATGCAGGCGTTGCTGTTTCCCAGGCCGGCCTTTCCCCTTTGGGTCTCTTGCAGGGATCAGGTGGCTGTGAGTCCACACTGGTGTCTGACCCCTGCACCCACAGAAGCATCCTCTCTGCAGTGTCAGCCTTAGGCTTTATCCTGAGGGCTGTGGAGAGATGGCGACCCCAGCCCGCCCGGCCCCTCTGCTGTTCGTGAGAACTCACCCCATCTGGGCCCGCTCTTGCCTCACACGGATCCTCTGGCACTTTTTTAGGTGGGGGAGGGGAGGTTTTCTTGGGCCACACTCTGTGATGCTCGGGTTACTCCTGGCTCTGTACTCAGGAGTTACTCCTGCAGTGCTTGGTGGACCATATGGGATGGCGGGGATCAAACCTGGGTCGCTGCTTGCAAGGCAAACACCCACACTGGTCTTTCTCTGGCACTTCTTGAGGCCTCCTGGGGAAGAGTGTTCATTTCCCCTAGTTTCTGTTCTCGGCCCGACCCATCAGCGTTCTCTCTTTCTAGATTCCCTTAAGCGTGGACTGTTTGTTGGCTCCTTTAACTCTTTTCTAGCCTCTTTGCCATCTCCTGTCACGGTATCTCCTCTGTCCTGGCACTCGGGAAAGGAGGGAGCGAATAGATGTGTTGTGAGTGAGTCGGGACTCCATCTAGGCTCCCCCATTCTCTCAGGCGCGACCTGAGCTCTGTCAGTACAGGCAGGATTGAACTTTCCACTCAGTCTTTCTCCGAAGGAAAATCCTTCCTTGCAACTGGGCGGAAACACCCGAGGCCAGCTTTGCTGCAGCAGCTGTGACCTGCCGGGCCCAGCGTGCAGATTCCACTGCCGAACCCTGGGTGGCGCTGGAGCCCTCTGGCTCTCCTGTCACCCGTAGCCCCTTGGATCTGTCTCTCCTTGCTGGGTTCGGACCTGGCGGAAGACTCCTGTCCTGCCCCTCAGCCCTGCCCCCCAGCACCCGCCAAGAGCGCCTGTGTTGTTTGAATCATGTAGACGGCCGGAGCTTGGGCTCAGGGCTTTGCTGCCAAATGGAATGGCTATTTGAAAGTCAACTGTGCTACAAGTTTGCTTTTTATTTTCTTAGACTTGAGTCAAAAAAGAGTCGGATCTATTCCCAGCTCATCTGGGACTCTTTCTCTCCCTCTCCCCTCTCCCCCACCCCTTTTGGAATGCTCTATGCCTCAGTGATTTGTTATTTTAAAACCAACATCCTAAAGGATAGAAAAGCTGAACTTTTCCTTGGTGGGGCTGAGAACCTACTGCCCTGACTCTCCCCTGGACGCTGGCTCTCACACAGGGGGTGACACGTCTTTGGAGAATGTCTTTGGCATGTTCCCTTTCTCCCTCCCAAGACCCCCTGCCTTGATCAAAGTGCTTGGCTGGACCCTTTTCTCCCTTCCCCCTCGGTGCAGCTTTGGAGTGAGTCTGACTCTTTGAGGTATTTGGTGGGGGTGCCAGACAGAAGCCTGGGGAGATGCCAGCAGGCACAGCGAGGGAGCTGGCGGCCGGTGGGCATCATGGGAAAACATTCCCACTTCAGTCCCGAGCTGGAATTTTGTCACCTTTTGCCCAGACCTACAAATCATTCTGTTAATGCTCTTCCCCTTCCACTGCAGCCTGCCCAGCCCCTCTTTTCCATACCTGGACCCTTTCCCTTGGAATATGTGGTCCATTAGCCAACTGGATGAAGTAACTGTTTCCACGCATGCTGCCTGCTTTCCTTTTGGATTGGAGGGAGGGAAGGAGGGAGGAAGGCGGGAGGAGGGAGGGGGAGCGAGAGGGAGGGAGGAGGAGGAGAGAGAGAGGCAGAGTGCCTCTATGTGGGGGTGAGGTGCTGGGGCGGAGGGCCTGTGAGCAGAGCTAGGGTGGGTGGGTGAGGGCCTTTCGGGGTGGTGGGGCGCCTCAGGGTTAGGTGTGAGGCCAAATGAAAACAGCTTTTCCTGGCTTCCTGCTGCACAGAGAGGGCCTCTTCATAAAAATGCTCAATAATAGTCAGAGCCTTTTGGAAAATATCTGCATCTAGCAGCTTTCCACTACGAGACTAGAATAAAGGATAGAAAAAAAGAAAAGAGAAACCCACACATAACTTTGATGTAGGAGAAGTGTGAGCTCCTCCAGATGGAGGCTTCTGGGCCGGCCGACTGGCAAAGGTCCTTTGACGACGTGCCCTTGAATTTAACTCTCGAAATACAGCCCGAAGGAACTGGAGCTAGGAGTACCCTAGCTCCTCCGGTAACCATGACTAAAGGCCACATTTTCCCAATTTAGTGTATTGAGATTGAGGCGGGGGAGGATCCGGCATTTTCTGATTAAGGTATGAATTTGATTATGGAAGTCAAATTTAGGCATCCTTGTCTCACACATTATCCACGGTAAATACAATATCGTATTTTCCTCGAGATGGTGAAGTATCTGCAGAGTATTTAGGTCACTACTCATTCCTCCTTACCAAACTTCTGTCCTGCTCTCGTTTCTGTATATATGCTTTTATCTCATATGTGATCCCCCCCACTCTCCACCCCCCGACGGTCAAAAATTTAGGGTGGCCCTGGTTTGTGGGTCATTTCTAATAGCCCGTTGAAGCTTTGGGGACTCTGCTTTCACTTTTGCATGTCTTCATTACCAGTATGCTGTTTTGAGTACAATGGCATATCATGGCCTGTGGTGAATTCTGTTGAGTTGTGTGACTTAGATGACCATACAATACTTAGAACCACATTGATACTATTAAATTTGCAGTAATAATACCAACTGATGTTTTCTGAGAATATAATATCTGCTAAGGATCACTGTGCCTTTCAAATCTAACCTCATTTATTCTTTATGAGCTTGTTACTATTATTTCCCTATTAAGTGATAAAGTCAAGATTATAGCTGTCGGCTGACATTTTTTTTTTAAAGTCTTTTTTTGGTTTGTTTTTGTTTTGGGGTCACACCCGGCAGTGCTCAGGGGTTACTCCTGGCTCTGCACTGAGGAATTACTTCCGGCAGTGCTCGGGGGACCATATGGGATTTCAGGGATCAAACCCTGGTTGTGCCTTACTGCTGTACTATCTCTCTGACTCCAGTCTAGCTGATTCGAGAGCAGAGGGTCCTAAACTTGCTGGGCCTCCTGCTCTCTTTTTGTGGTTAAAAAGAAGTGACTTTTCCCACCTGGAAACTTGCAAACAAACAACTTTGTAGTTGTCTAGCAACTACCTGGACCCCAGGAAACAGAGGACTGTTCCTTGAGTCAGGGACGACGGATGCTCAAGACTTGTGTGCACAACTTGGCCAAGACAAGCCACCCACTTGGGACATAAACTCAGTCATATGGCAACATTCATTAGGAAAAGCAATGATTAAATGGAGGCCGAGGGAATATGCCAGCATAGAGTGTAAGAGTAGATGCAGTCCCAAAGCAGCCTGCTGCAGCCTCTGCTCCAAATCTGAGACTTATTGACAGCAACACTGAGGAACTCCCGATACACTGAGGAACAGCCGCAGACTTCAAGAGAGGAGTCTGTGGTGGGCACAGCCTGTGCTTGCAGGAGGCCTGGGTTTGAACCAAAGGCCCGCCAAGCGCCATTGGAATGACTCCCACATTGTCAGGAGTAGCACCAGGATACCACAAGTGTGGCCCCAAACCAAGCCCAGAAGAGATCCATGACTGTCCAACTCTCCTCAAACCAGAGGACACATGGGTGGTAGCCTTCACTCCATGCCACACAGAGGCCGTCCCGGTCTCCGTACTTCCCGCCTCATCATACATATTTGTTCTTTGGATGGTACAAACCAGCTCATATTTTAGGTCATTTTAACATTCATTCAGTGGTCTGCACCTTTCATTTCTATCTGCAACAGGAACTAAATCTTTTCACAGAAAAAATGGAGCTGTCGGTAGAGTTTTGTGGGTAACGTGTCCTGGTATTGGGCAACTAAAGAAAGTCTTTTGGTATTTTCACGTCTGTTTCCTTTTCGTCCATCCCTAATTAGCTTGATGTAAACTGGCTTCAATTCCAAGTTGAAACTGCCTTCCAACTCAGGCTTTAATCAAGACTCTGAGTTGTTGTTGAACTTTGGAATCACATCCACTTTCCTAATTAAGATCAAACTCTCTCTGTTAAGCTATTGTCAGGTGGAACAGCCAAAAGTGTTTCCCAAGAGGGCAATACCAACCCCTGGGTGGCACTGGAACAATAAGGGACAGAGGAGAGGAGATGGCAGCAGGTGTGTGTGTGTGTGTGTGTGTGTGTGTGTGTGTGTGTGTGTGTGTAAGCCACTTCTTCCCTTCGGAGTCTTTTGCTCCTGCCTCTTCCAGCTGACAATGCTGTCTTCTCTCATTCCCCACACAGCTGCTCTGGACCAGACACTTTGACCTCTTTCTTGATCCTCAGGAGTCCACAATATCTTCTCACCTCCCCGCCTTGTCAGGTCCAAGCTCTGCTCGGCCCAGGGGTTCACGTTCCTTTGGCAGAGGCTCCCTCTCTCCTCATGTTGGGACCGTGCCTGCCTCTCGTTATTACCTCGGTGGTCGCCTCCTGCCTCTTCCCCAGGGGAGAGCTTTGCAGTCTCTCATCTGCCCTGCACTCCAGGGTTCCTCTCACCGACGCTCATGCGCTCACTTCCTGTTTGTGTTTTGCAGCTTCACATTCTGCACTTGCAGATACTCCACTTTATGTGCCTAGAAATGCGTTCTGCTGTCCCTCGACCTAAACCCCAAACTCTGGAAGTAGAGGTCAGATGTTTGCATTCTCCCTTGCTGCATCCCCTTAGCTATACTCGTGTGTGTGTGTGTGTGTGTGTGTGTGTGTGTGTGTGTGCGCGCGCGCGTGCACGTACTTGAAAAGATCGTTTGGTCCTTGGGGCCAGAGATATTGTACAACAGGTGCACAGCCAACCCGGATTCGGTCCCCACCATCCCATATGGTCCCTGAGCCTGGTAGGAGAGATTTCTGAGTGCAGAGTCCCTGAGCTCCACTACATGTGGTCCAGAAAACAAAAGCAATCAGACAAAAAAAGATCATGTGGTCTTTGCCTGCAGTTCTATTCAGGTGCCCTCAAGTTAGCATGTCCTGCTCACCGGTACTCACGGTGGACACATCTGTAAGTGCTCTCAGGCGCTTGAAGAAACCTTTATTTAAGAATAATGGTAAGATTGAAGAAGAAGAAAAGTTCATCTTACTTTCTACATTTGTAGGAGATCGAGGTTTCATTTTTGTCATATAAATGTTATTTTCTTGATAGTTAACTCTGTAGTATGTATGTAGCTTCTTCAAGGTGCTCTGACGATTTGGTGAGAGGGGCTGTGTAAAGGGTTTTTCCCTCTTCTAATTGGATACCCCGTGTTTCCGTTAGGGGTGTGCCTTGTGGCCGACTATATGGCAGCTTGGAGAAGCCATTGTCTTGGTTTTCAGGATTATCATTGCTAAAACATTAATAAGAGCTTTGCTCCCTAACGAATTAGGATTTCTTTGCATTTGATTCTTTTGTTCTTTCTCTGCTCACTAGCCAAACCAGATTTCCCTGGAAGAGAACATCCTGGTCTCCCGTTACATTAACAACCCCCTGCTCATAGACGGTGAGTTGGGATCAGGTTCTGCAGCACATCATGCTCAGTTTTTGTTTGGAGGGCTGCACCTGGCTCAGCGTGGAGGGTGGCTCCCAGAGGGGCGAGGGCAGCCGTGGAGTGCTGGGGATCGAACTCAGGGTTCTCGCAGCCGAGAATGCGCTCTTTCCTTTGAGCCATCTCCCAGGCCCTCCTCATGATAGAGGCTTAGGGTCGTTTTCATAGCATTCTCTAATAGACCTTTAGGAAGTTAGTTTGAAATACTTTGGTTTAGTTCGGTTTTGGGGTCATACCCAGTGGTGCTCAGGACTTACTCCTGGCTCTGTGCTCAGGGATCACTCTTTGGGGGGGGGGTTCTGGGGAACTGGGGACCCAGGAATTGGATATGAATGCTGGTGATCGAACCTAGGTCAGCTGCATGAAAGGCAAGCATCATACCTGCTGTACTCTTGCTGTACTGTATTGCTCTGGCCCAGTTTGAAAGTTTTGACGGAGCATCTTCAGGGATAAGGCTGGTTTTTAAACTACCTCATGGAAATTTTTTTTAAAGGTAAAATGAGATAATACAAAAGAAACTTCATTATGCAGTAGGTATGTATTATAGATTATCCAGTTGCAAGTACATCTTTGAAAACTCTATATTACAAGTAAAGCTCCTTTTCCATGCCCATTTTATACACAGTTCCATTGTGGAAGTATTCTCCTTAAAGGGCTCTGTGCGTGGGCAGAGTGTGTTTCCGTGGTGGTCTTGCCTTCACATGCCTTTGTTCCACTGTCCTGTTCATTCTGAAGAGAATAAATTGAAGACAAAGGAATGTAATTTTTCCTGTGACTGCAATCCTTTTTCTCTCTCTAGATTTCAAATTCGACGTCCGACTCTACGTGCTCGTGACTTCCTACGATCCTCTTGTCATCTACCTCTATGAAGAAGGATTGGCCAGGTAAGAGACTGTGGCTTGTCTGGGGTCAGGGGTGGATAGCAGAATGAGCCAGATCTGTTTCTGAGAGATTGAATTTAGGAAAATTGAGTTCCCCTTGCACTTTGGAGGACAGAAGTCAGTCTTCTTACTTGACGCTCCCTTGTAAGTGACGCAGAGGAGCAAAATGTGTGTGTAAGGGAACACCCTTCGCAGCAGGCATCCTGGTGCACACACGGATTCGCACGGAGTGTCAGTTGTGAAGACTCAGGGGCCACCATTGTCCCTCCCAGTAGATTGAGAAAGGAAAATAAAAGCCTTGCGTTTATTTACCTGTGATGAGGTTATGAAGGCTTAAAGCGGTGAAGAGGCTCAGAGTTCCTCAGGAATTGGAAGTCGTGAGTCTGACAGCAGAGCTGGGCACCTGGCCTGCTCCGTGCCCTCTTACCGTCAGGGGGCATGAGCCGCCTCCCCTGATCTCCAAAGTTGGAAGGTCGTGCACATTATAGCGGTTGCATGCACGGTGTTCTGGGTTTTCTTTAGGGTTTAAGGCAACGTGGTGTCATCCTACGGTTCAGGTTACGAACGATTTTGTTGCCCATAGCCATAAAATTGTATCGGTGTTTTCATAATTGAAAAGAAGCACATCGCTTTGCTGTTTTCTTTCCCTCAGCACATTCACCTGAAGCTCCCTTGTGCCCAGAGTTCCCTTCTGTAGTCTGGGGGGGTATGAGCTGTCAGGACAGATTGTTTAGAACGTATACATCAAAGCCAGGAATCTCCCTAAATCCAGGAATGCTACCTACTTAAGCCTCGGTTCTTTGCCATATGACCTTACACCCTAACAACTTATTTTACTGGTGCTTTGATTATTTCCTGTCGTCCAGCTTTTGTGACCAGAAGCTGAAGGGAGCTGCCTGCCCTCCGGGTTCTAGCTGGTTGAGCCTTGTCTTCGCCTCTCCACTAGGGGGCAGCAGCAGCATGTCACCAGCCTGTCACAGTCTTAATCAAGATTTATGAGTTTGAACCTTGGGAACCCCCGAGGCTACTGAAGCTCCCTGGCTCTGGCCTCTTGTTCATTGAAATCCGAGGATGAGGGAAACCAAAGCCCTTTCTCAGTTTCTCTGTAGAGGACTGGACCAGGCATCCGTGCACAAGCTGACGCCCTGCTCAGATTCCTGTAGAAAGTTTCCTGAAGCGTCCATGGGCGCGTGTGCTCTCAAACCTTGAAAGCTGGGCTCTCCTGTTTGCTAGAGCACAGAGAAGGTGAAATAGAGCTGTACGTTTTGCATATTGTTCCAAAGACGCATTACCCACCGTGTTGACCACTCTCCTTACTGGTACGATTCGGCATCGTTTTCAGACCTTGACATTTATTACAGAACTTGCTGTAGAGATGCAAGTGCTTTGGCAAGTGTTGGGCGTGTGTTAGAAGTCAGAATCCACTGAGCTGAGCGATTCTCTTGCCCTCTAGGCAGGAACTGACTGTTTTTTCCAAAAGGAGGCCTTTCATCAGTATTGGAGAAGTGGCTTCTCATCAGTAATTTGGAGAACAGCTTTCCAGCATCTCTGCCCAAATAGCACTGAGAAATAGACACTTTTGGGGCTTTTACTTGTTTCCTTAGAAGCACAGGCGAATGGGAAAGCTTTACAGAAAGACAAGCTCTTCGCCGGAGCCCTTTGAGGGTGCAGTGGCCTGCGTGTGCCCGGGCCTCCGTGTCTTAGCTCAGTGTGTGTTTGGGCATCCACAGGCTGGTTCTCGGTTCCTCCGATTCTGCTCTTCTGAGTCATTACCCTCAGCCGCCGTGCAGAGCATCTCCCCATCTCCAGCGCCTCGCAGTCTTGGCTCGCATGTGCTTGATGTAGACGTTACTGAAGAGAATGGGATTGGGATGAGATCATTTAGGCTGTTTTACTTTGAGGCTCAACAAGGAAAACCATAATCTTTCCTAAAGAGACAGATCTGGCAGCAAGTACAACGCGTTTCCTTCTTTAGAAAAGAAGGGCCTCATGCCATATCACTTCTGTTTGCGACCTCAAAAGTAATGGTTTGGTGACAGAAAGATTAAGTTCACTTCACAAGACGTCTTTGTGAAAGAAGTATTTAGTGTAAATTCTGTGCCCTTGCAAACATACTGAAAGAAAAAGAATGTAAACAGTCCCTTTCTAGGTGAATAGTTCCAGTGGTCCGTGCTGTTGGAGTTGCCTTGGAGCGGGGACAGCTCTCTCTGTTTTCTTACCTGTGGGCAGAGCTCGGGGGCGTCTAGGACCCTCTGGTGCTTGGCTCCTGTGTCTCTCCCAGAGGCCCCTCACCCGGCCTTTGCTTTCACTGGGTGTCACTGGCCTGTGCCAGCAGGGGACGCTCGTTTTCTGGGTTGGGGTGCCCTTCTCAACTGAAAATGACTAAAATGGCGCATATCCCTCTTCCTGTCCAAAGTGGCATCCCAGGGGCTGTTGGTGTGGCTTTGGCAGGTTTAGGTGGGTCTGATAATGCCGTCTAAATGATTTGATGGACATACTCACAGCCACATTTTCCCTGAAAGAGGAAAACCAGAAATCCAAGCCAAAATGAAGTGGAAAACAACATGTGTTGCCAGAGACCCCAAGATAGACAGCGCGAGCGAGTCGGGGGGATGTGAGGGTGTCTGTGCAGGGGGCCGGAGGCGACCACCACATGGTGGCAGTGGCCGGAGGCCCTGTCTGGGGACCGCCTCTCTCTCTCTCTGCCGCGGCGTCGCCGTCAGTGGAAATTCAGCAGAGACCCCAAAGCATTCGTCATGCCTTCCCCAGCCTCCCCCGGTCCTTCTTCAGTAGCCTTCCTTGCTAATTAACACTGGCTCCGCCGGGATATTTACCTTTTCTCTGCTGGATTCCTGTGGTTTTGAAAGAATTCAGGTACTTGCTGGCTGCCAAGGAATTCAGATTACCTCACAGACTGCACGCTGGCCAGAATCTGCGGCTGCAGCAGGAGGGGCCGGGACCCCGCAGGCCCCGGCTGCTGGTGGGGCTTGACTCATTGCTGGCTCTGAAGACAGGGGATCAGGTGGGTAATCCCCTCCCAGACGGGCCCCCCGGGGCTGCGGCCTCGTCACTGCTGCATGCTGGCAGGCGCCTGGCTACGGCCCGTGGCATGTCCCTCTGCGCTCGGCCCCTCAATCTCTTCCCGCAGGTCTCAGGGGCAGTCTGAGATGAGACCCTGTGACTCCTGGTAGGGCCGCTCACAGTATTGTCCCCACCCTGTGTTCAGGCCTCCCTGGCCCTGGGGTGCTGCACCTGTCCCCAGAGATGTCGTGCCAGTGCCTCTGCAGGGTGCGCTGCTCTCCCCCCATGCAGTCCTGACCGTCCACGACGGCAGGACGTCACCCTCCTCCACTTAGCTCTCCTGGACTCCAGCTCCGCTTCTTAGAAGGACGGAATGATCCCTGACTGACATGGGGGCTTTCCCCATGTTGTTCCCTGCTGGAAAGTAGCTGCCGGGTGCAGTCTCGTCTTCGAGTCTGACACTGGCATCCTGCCTTCATGCAGTGCCCAGTAGCTTTAGACAGTGATTGCTTTCATTTTGATTCTTTTTTTTTTTTTGTGGGAGTCAGAGGGTACCCACACCTGGCAGTACTCGGGGCTTAGTCCTAACACTGGGCTCAGGGCTCACTCCTAGCGGGTTTCTGGGAACCAGATGTTATTACGGCAAACTCGGTTCTGCCATGTGCGAAGTGAGAGCCCTTACCCACTGTGCTGTCTGTGGCCTGCACCTCGGTTTCTCAAGGGAATCCTTCCTTGCGGGAGGCTGAGCGCGTCGGTCTTGGGAGTACCGTACCTTGTTCTTAGCCTTTTCATTTTGGAACCACTTCAGACTTACAGGGCAGCTGTGAAGTGGAGCAGAGTTGGTCTCAAAAGCTCCAATTGGAGACCGCATCCACTTGCACCCACCTTCCTTCTGTTTGTGACGAAGGGCCCAACACCGGCCCCGGGCTTCTGTCTGCTCAGGAGCCTGTGCAGGCTCCTTGCGGTTGTTTTCTTGACTGAGCAGTGATGAAGACTCCAGGTCTGCTCTTTTATTGAATATCCCTAGATCTGGGTTGCCTGACACTTCTTTAGGAAGACCTGGGTATAGATTTTGGGCCCCTGGGCTACCTGCATCCTGTTTGACAGGATAGGGTAGCTGTCTCAGAGGGTTTGGCCACTTGACGGAGGTGGTGTCGCCAGGTTTCTCCCCTGTAGTGTTCCCTTTTTCTCCTCTGGAACTGTTAGTATTTTGGGGGGGCGTGAGGGGGTTCCAGGTGGTCTGGTGCTCAGAGGCCACGTCTGGTGATCCTGGGAGGTTGGAGGTAGGCAGGACCACCTGTGGTGCCAGTATCTGGACCATTGTTGTGGCCACAGCCCTTACCCCCTGTACTATCTCACTGGCCCTGCAAGTATTTTTTGTGCAGAGAATTTGAGACCATGCAGCGCTTTGTTCCTTATCTCGTTTCACCCAGTAGTTTTAATATCCTGGATGTAACTTGCCTAGATCAATTATTGATGTGATGGTTACTGAGTAATGATTGAATAATGATGAAAACATTTAATTTATTTAATTACCGTTCAGATAACACGGTTGCAGTATGTGCTGACCTACATCACAAAAAAAGTGCCCCCACCCCTCCACCTCTGTCTTTATGCTCCTTCTGTCCTCACTTTTATTATTTTTTTTAAATTGAATCACCGTGAGATACAGTCGCAAAGCTCATGTTTGAGTTTCAGTCATACAATGATCAACTTTTTTTGATTTGACATTTTATTCCGTGGGAGCATTTTCTCTTGTTTGTTCTTTTACTTATTTGTACCCCCGTGGACTCCAGGATTTTCCTTTTATTTAGTGAGTCATGGTTCCTTATTATTGTGACTTTTTTAGATGCTCACCTGGTCCCAGATTGGGCCAGTGGGAGTCTCTTTGAACTGCATTTGTATCTTTTTAACGCTCAATCTCTGAACAAGACTCTCAGGTCTTGTCTGGGTCTTTCTCTGCCATTGCCCTGGAATCAAGCATTTTCTTTATCTAGGAAGTGCTGGTTCTTTTTGATAGAGACTAGTGTTTAGAAATCAAGATATGGGTACTAGATGCTCATTGTTCTTGGGATGTCTCGACCCTTAGGTCCTCATAATTGCAGACCAAGAAATGGAAATGGGGGGACACAGACATACATGTCTGCTTTTTTCTTTCTTTCTTTTTTTTTTTTTTTCTTTTTGGTCATACCTGGCGATGCTCAGGGATTACTCCTGGCTTAGCACTCCAGAATTAGCCCTGACGGTGCTCGAGGAACCATATGGGATGCTGGGAATCGAACCTGGATCAGCCGTGTGCAAGGCAAACGCCCTACCCGCTGTGCTATCACTCCAGCTCCTGCATCTTTATTTCTGTACCTCTATATTAAAAAGTTGGTGCTCATGCTAATAAGTCCAATTCTAATTCAAAGCTACAGAATTAATTCTAGTCTTTTTCTCTTTCCATGGTTTTTGTTTTTGTTTTTTGAGTCACACCCTGCGATTCACAGGGGTTACTCCTGGCTCTGCAGTCAGGAATTACTCCTGGTGGTGCTCGGGGGACCATATGGGAAGCTGGGAATGAAACCTGTGTTGGCCGCGTGCAAGGCAAACGCCCTACCCGTTTGGCTGTGCTATTGCTCCAGCCCCTCTCTCTTATGTTTTTGAATCTTTTTTCTCCAAGAGAAGTCATGAGAAATCAATTCTCATTGTCTTCAGTATGTTTGTTTCTTCGATTTCCTGGCCACTGCCCACTCAGATACCTCCCTCCCACCCCCCAGCCTGAACCCTCCCCACCACCAACCTCCCTCAACTGCTCCAGGCTTTCTTCCCTTCCTCTCATCCCTTTCCATCTTCCTCTCCTGGGTCTGACTGAGCTTGCATGGTTGGAAGTGATCTGATTCCTAAATGGGGGCAAAGTAAAAAATACAGTAAACAAACCAAAATGACTCCAATCCTTTTGCATTGAATTCTAATACTTTACACCTGAAGTATGTGTGTTTTTTTTTTTCGTTTTTTTAAAAAATATTTTTTGGGGGAGGGGCTGTGGTAGCACACCCAGTGGTGCTCAGTGCTTACTCCCAGCTCTGTGCTCCGGCGTCAGTCCTCGTGTCTCGGGACCATATGGGGGTGCCGGGGCTGAAGCCTGGGTCAGCCATGTGCAAGGCAAGTGGCCTTCCTTCTTCGCTGTCTCCGCATCCTCCTCTGAAACATGTCATAAGCCACCGTTATTTCAATCAATTTCATTTAAAAATGAAAAGAAATCCCCTTTGGATTGGTCATAAGCCGACTAGCAGGTTAGGCCCGAGCCTAAAGCACCTCTGAGCTAGACAAGAAGGAAGTGGGAATTGCTTGTGACCCGAGACGAATGTGGTCTCTTTAGTATAGGTTCGAACAGCACCGATCCCCACTCCCTTGGTCAGGAAGAAAGGTAAACACATACACCTTGCTTCCCGCCCTGCGCTCCTACATTCTCCACTGGCCTAAGTCAAGTACAGGTAAAGGTAAAGGTAAAGGTCCTCCCGTTGTTCGTCGATTTGCTCGAGCGGGCCCAGTAACGTCTCCATTGGAGACTTTGTTACTGTGTCTGGCATATCGAATACTCTCGGCAGCTTGCCGGGCTCTCCGAGAAGGGCGGAGGAATCGAACTCGGGTCGGCCATGTTGGCTGCGTACAAGGCAAATGCCCTGCCGCTGTGCTATCGCTCCGTCAAGTACAGTGCAGTGCATTAGTCCCTCTGAGGAATGACAGGATTGATCCTGTTTCTTATTTATTTATTTATTTATTTTGGAGTTCCTTTTGCTGCTGCCTGCACTCTGTGTGGGCTGGAGTGATAGCACAGTGGGTAGGGCGTTCGCCTTACACGCAGCCAACATGGCCGACCCGAGTTCGATTCCTCCGCCCCTCTCAGAGAGCCCGGCAAGCTACCGAGAGTATTCGATATGCCAGACACAGTAACAACAAAGTCTCCAATGGAGACGTTACTGGGCCCGCTCGAGCAAATCGACGATCAACGGGAGGGCACTCTGTAGAAGCCCACTCTGTGGTATTAAAATCTTGCCGGGCAGAGGAGGAAAGATTAAGAAGCAGAAAGCTTATGATTTTGAGTGTGTGCGCGCGCGTGCGCGCGCGCGTGTGTGTGTGTGTGTGTGTGTGTGTGTCTGTGTGTGCGCTGCTGTTTGGGTCACAGCCGACAGCCAGCACAGGCATCCTTTGCACCTCCCAAGGATTGGTGACAGACTGAGTGCCACGTAGTTAGAGATTATCTAGAGAAGCACCATTGAGCGGTCCAGGTCAGGTTTAGTCACCAGAGAGTGGCTCGGTTAGAAGTTTGGTGAAAGCCGTGGGAAGTTATAGCTTTACCCTCACGTGCAGACTGCTCATCCAACTATGCCTTGTTAACGGTTCTCTCTGGCCACATCCTTCTTCCTGTCCTCATCCTGTTTGTTTGTTTTAGTTTCCCTGGATATTCTTTCTTTCTCTGCCTCTTGTGTATTTCTAATACAGGGAATTAAGAGTTGAGATAGTGGGTGGGTGAGAAGTGATTGAGGCAAGAAGAAGCATTCGAATGTTTCTCTTTAATGTGGCAAAAATTCCTGTTGCCTTCATAGTCTGAGTAAGCATATGTGAATAGTTTGTAAATGATATGAAAATAAACATGTGGCCTCCCTGGATTTTTTTTTTTTTTTTGCTTCACACACTTGGATGTGCTCTTTGGAAAAACCACATTAGAGCTGGTGATATGGGTGTAGTGGTGGGAAGTAGGAGTTGGTATCTGCTATGACTGTTCGACTCAGGTCCCCTCTTGCTGTTGTTGAGTGCCACGGAAAAGTTTTTTCTGTCCTGCTACTTTCTTCAGAGGCACGTTTAGTTTATACTTTGATCTTCCTCTGACAATAGTCCAGGATAGCAAATTGCGGCTCTTGTTTTCAGTGGACTCCATGTTTCATTCCTCTGTCTTCTGTCTTCATTCCAAATTCTGGAGCCAGTTTCCTGTACCATACTAATGCTTAAGTTCTCCATACCTAGATTTCATGTGTTGTTAATGCTCCCATAATTGCTTTTTAAAAAATGTTATTTTTATGAAGTTCACAATAATTTACTACATATTATAATAATAATAATTTGTTACATAATTCATTAATTTTTGAACACCAATCCCATTACCATTATACCTTTCCATCACCATATTTCGAGTGTTTCCACCCCAAACTCCAAACCCTGCCCCCAAAGCAGAACCAAAATAATTTATGTTGTGAATAATGCACTAAAAATGATCCAAAAAAGTCTTCTTAGAGGAAAGTGTGTGAGAATTGTTTTATTTCACCCAGGAGTTATTAAGCTCTTTGATAAGAGATTACTAGCATGTTAGTAAAGGTTTAGACTTGTGTGCTTACCATGACTTTTACAGGTCATTTCTGTTGTTTCTATGGATGTGGTTTCTAGAGATTGCTGTCTTGCTATGTCCTCTTAACTCCTTTTTGCTTAGTACTTCCCTAGTCTGCAAAGGCACTGCTTAGGGACCTTAAAGAAGCTTCTTGATCAACTGGTTCCTATCATCCACAGTGTACCACAGCACTATTTCCTGAACTGTGCATAACTTATTTTTGTCCTTTCTGTTGGTATAAATTTGCAACATTAAAAGCAGAAACTCATGGCTAAAAATGTGTCTTGGGGTCTCCCTGACTTTGGGCAGGTTTTACTTATTCTTTCAGGTCATATTTTAGTTTTTATACCTATTACTTACATTTGGATTTCGGGTCTAACCTGGCAGTCTCAGGGACCACTCCTGGAGGTGCTCAGGTGATCTGATGTGGTGATGGGGAGTAATCCAGGGTTACCACCTTCAGGGCAAGCGCCTTAGCCCCTAAGCTCTCTCTGTCTCTCTTGCCCTATGTATCTTTTAGATAAGTATAACCCCCCTGGTTCCGAGGATTCCTTTTAGGCTTGAGTTAAGTGGATATTAAGGATGAAGCACCCAGAATGGGAATCTGCTCGCAGGCGACTGCATCTCCTAAGGATGTTGTCGTCCTTTCCCCACCGCCCCCGACGTCACCTTGATTCTTCGAGTCCTGCTCTTTGTCTCCTTGAAACGCTCTCCTTGCCATTGAATCTGTGCCCTTTCCCTCAGGTTTGCCACTGTACGGTATGATCAAGGAGTCAAGAACATCCGTAACCAGTTCATGCACCTGACCAACTACAGCGTGAACAAGAAGAGTGGAGACTACGTCAGGTGCCCATGCGGGGATCACATGTGGGGGTGATGGGAAGCCGGCAGGTTGCATGGGGGAAGCGCCCCATTGTAGGACTGGTGGGCAACTGCCGGGGCTGTCTCGTGTAGTTCCCAGGCTGAGGTGCTGCTACCTTCTTAGTTCCGCCATCCTTGTTGGCTTTTCTCACTTCACCAGGGGTGGGGATTTCATGGGCTCTTTTAGAAGTCCAAGAACGAGGTCCTAGCCTGGAGGAATAACAGAGGAGTTTAGAGCACCTGCCTTGCATCGTGTATGGTAATAGACTCAAAGCCCCGGGGTCCCACATATGCCGAGCTCTGCTGTCTGCAGCCCTCTGGCACCGCCATATTGCGGCTGGGTCGCCGTGAGCTTCACTGAAAGAGGTGTGACCCCTCTGGCTAGCGCTGCCACTGAAGAAAGATGTGTGTGTCCCATGCCAGGCAGGATGACGTCTGGTGAGCTCCACAGCCATAACTGAGCCTGACAACCTTGCCGAGCACTCCACCGAGTGTGCAGTACTCAGGAGGACCCACGCCGGGTGTGCGCGAGAGCCCTGGGCAGCAGCACTGAAGGGAGAGGGGAGGGAGCGAGCATGTTTGATTCAAACCAGGGAAGGAGAGAAGGAGAAGCAGCCTTCTTTCAGCACCAGATCAAAACATATCAAATGTTTCCAAACCTTTGTGTCTTTGAAAATAGCAAGGCCATTTCTAGGGAACTAGCTTAAGAAATGACTAAGTGCGTGCAGAGCGCAGAGATAAGGAAGTCCACTACTGTCCATTGGTAGGTGCAGAAAGCAGGTTTCTGGATGCTCCATGCAATTGAGATTAAGATTTTTGAGTGTGCTAGCTATCAAAAGCGTTTCTTGTGGCTGGGGTGGTGCTGGGGGAGAAAGCTAAGAGGCCTTTTGCCAAAATAGTCTCAGTGAGTAGCTGTCATGAATGGAGTTATGGGTGCGTGATTTATTTTTCTTCTCTGTGCTTTTATATGTTGTCTGATTTATTATTTTTTTCAAACAAATAGTTGTGTGACCAGGGGGAAAAGTCAGGAATGAATTAAATAAAAGAAATGAGGCCGTCTCAGCAAAGGATTCAGTGGAAAGGGAGTACCAGCCCAGCTGTGTGGAAATATTCTTTCTGCTCTGTTTTCTTTCATCCTGATAATTTTGCCAGAAAGTGGAAAAATAAAAAAGAAACCCAAACAGTTACTTTCTACTCCGACTAAAAATAGGTGTATAGCAGGTCCAAGCGAAGGAGGGAAGAAAAGGATCTGGAAGCAGCGTTATGGTTGCTGACGCTCTGTAGCCTTCACTGCGTATCCTGGGGCCAGTGTTAGGAACTGGGGAAGAAGTCAGACTCTTCACTTGGGGAGACAGGCGCAGATGACATTGGTGGGGGGTGGGGAGGAAATGTGGGGCCCCATGGCAAATTCCAGTCTTCCAGCATTCACGGGAGCCCACTCCACTTGTCACTTTGCTGTTAGAGCTATGGTACTTCTATTGGCATTTTTTCTCCAGTGATACCGTCCAAAAAGTTAAAGGGGGAGAAAAAGACTGTCACCGGGGAGGGAGGGAGGGAAGGAGGAAGGGAGGGAAGGGGAAGGGAGAGAGGGAGAAGGGGGAAGGGGGGGCGCGAGAGAGAGGAGGGGAGAGAGAGAGAGGGAGGGAAGGAGAGAGAATACTTGTTTCATGCTAAGGCACTTGTCTGTGGCTTGTTTACCTCCGCAGAATACTCCATGTGATGCTCACCAGCCTATCCAGACTCAGTTTGGAGCTGAAAACAGCACCAGAAGTGATGTTCTGGACTCCTGTGGTTTTTACCTCAAAGGCTGGATTGATCGCTCACAACAGCCTCACCCTGCTTGTGCATGGAAACCACCTGTAGATCTGTTTGCATTCTTTCACACATTCTTTCCCATTTTTCTTGGTATATCATTGGTGGTGGAAGAATTTGTCTCCCCGACCCCCCTCCCCCACCCCACATTTCCTCCCCACCCCCCACCAACATTTTTTATTTTATTTTTGTAGCGTTTTCATTTTGATGGAAAAAATGCAGAGGGGTCTGTGACAAACAGGGCCAAGAGGAAGCGGATGAGTAGAAGTGAGCGCAGTTCAAGACCCTGAAAGGACGAGAAGGCTGTTTGTGGGGCCTGGCTTCTCTCCCCGTCAGACCAGGTCTCGTTGTGTGACCTCGACTGGTTTGTCTGTTTCAGTTGTGATGACCCAGAAGTGGAGGATTATGGGAACAAGTGGAGCATGAGCGCCATGCTTAGGTACCTGAAGCAGGAAGGCAGAGATACGACGGGTAAGTGCCGGCCCTTCTCCCTCTGGGGACTGTTCTTTGTGAGTGTGCTGACAGGTGAGGTGAGGCACTCAGTGGGACCGTTGTGCAGGGCAGGCACTCTTCCCTGGAGTGGACCAAACGGAGAGCAGATCTCCCAGAGCTCCCAGAGCTTCCGCTTGTTTGTTTCTGGGCCGGAAGGCGTTCCTTTGCCCTTGAATCTCTAGCGAGTTTATGTTTCTTCAATGTTGAACTCTGACCCCAAACGTGGTCAGTAGCTTTTTCTGTAGCGGATTTTCTATTTCCTTTATTGACCCTGAATTCAGAATTTCTTTCTGGAGTCAGGGTCTTTCACGGTGCTGGATTGGGCAGGGCCATGGCAGAGCCCGAGTGCTGGGCTTGGAAGCAGAAAGGACACTCCGACACCTCCATTCGCTGTGGTGCTGGCCTTATTGTCCACACGATTTTCCCGGAAGCGTCTGTGTGCAGCGGTGTTGGAGAGACTGTTTTGAGGGAGCACACACGTGTCTGTAGTTAGCTCGCATTCTGGCATGTAGTGCTTCTAATTCATGAGTTTTAGTTTGTTTTTTTTTCCCCCCTTGTTTTTCATTTCTTTTATTTTTGTAGCATTGATGGCCCATGTCGAAGACCTGATCATTAAGACGATAATCTCCGCTGAACTGGCCATTGCTACTGCCTGTAAGACCTTTGTCCCACACCGCAGCAGCTGTTTCGGTAAGGACCTGGAGATGCCTTGTGCGTTCTGTGAATGGGGCGCTAGGTGCCCGGGGCAGCGTCCAGGCCTGGGAGGCCTCCCGACGTTCTGGGAACAGGAGACCTGCGCGGGTCTTTCTGATTCAGGGGAGCGTGGGATGCTCCTGCCGAGAGACGGAACTGAGCCGAGCAGAAGGTCCTCCGAGGAGTGACTGACTCTCTGTGGGTCATGGACTGGACCGAACGTGTGAGAATTGGTCCCGAGTGCAGGCGGAACAAGCCTGCCGAGGACTGGATGGGAATCCAGCGCTAGCAAATAGATTCCAGAGCTCCTTGGCAGCCACGCCGGGAACTGTTCCAAATAGCCCTGACTGGTACCAGTATGTGCTCTCTCCCGTTCCGTGAGCCTTGCTGGGGGCTTCCTGCGCCTCCCGTCCTTTTCCCGCCTCCCCCCTGCTCCCCGCCCTCTCGCTCCTACCTCACATCTCAGCTCCCTGACTGCACAGACGTTCAGTGAGAAAAGGCCCTCAGCTCTGGGCTCGGGAGGCCCGCTGCCTGACTGTGGTGCCCCACGCACCCGTGGACACTTGCTGTCCACGTGGACCCTCTAGGGCCACCCACAGGTGCGTGCCTGGAGCCACAGGAGCTCCGGGTGTTGGGTCGTGTGAGGAAGACTAGGGGCCTAGTCGAAGCACGCCAGGAGCACGGCAGCAGACTGGAGCTCAGGGGCCTGGCTTGCTGGGGAGGCCGAGGGTCTGTGCTGGAAGCTCATTTGCGCCCACTCATTGACCAGTTTCCTTAATCATCAAGCGGCAGTCATGGTGGCCGGTACCCCAAAGAGTCTGGGGCTCAGACTGGCTGGTGCGTGCAGAGCACACGTGCTCTCTGGCCCTGGATTGAGTACTAGAGGAGGGTTGTTTCTGCAGTGTGTGCGAGTAGGTATTAACATTCTTCATCTCCTTGGTGGATTATCATAATAATTTGTCCCTGAAGGCCACTAAAGTAAAAGCCAGTACTGAAGGGGACTCCGGGCCACGCCTGGAAGTGCTCAGGGGCTATTCCTGTCTCTGTGCTCTGGATTGACCCCTGGCAGCGCAGGGGTCGGCCAGGGGTGGCTGTGTGCGCCCCTGCCTGGGAGTACCTCCCGGACTATCTCTCTGGCCCCAAGGTGAATGATATCTTTCTCAGGTGCACATATGTTCATATCTCCTAAAAGATGGGAACTGACTCCCTAAGACTTAGCTGCTTGGGCGGGGTGGGGTTGGGGAGGGGTAATGGGCCATCCCTGGTGTTGCTTAGCTGCTGCCCCTGTCTCTGTGCTTGGGGGGGTCATTCCTTGTGCTTGAAGGAATCAAAGCTGGGTTGACCATTTGCGGGGCCAAGTGCCTTAACGCCTGTTATCTCTTTCCCCACTGAGGCTTGATTGGGAAAGGAAGCATTGGTGTGACCGCCAGGATTTGTGACGATCTGGCCTTGGTTGTCGAGAAACCCACTTTCCTTCTTCCACCTTTGAGTTGGACCCTGCCACCGAGCTCTCCGTCCTCTTGTGCTTCTGTAGGGTTTCTCCCGCCCTCTGCCACACGCTCTTTTCCCCCGTACTCCTCTTGATATCCAGACACTCTGTTTGCCACTGCCTCTTTCAGAGATCTGCTTGACCCTCCCTGTTCTCTCTGCGCTGTGCTGTGACTTACAGTCCCGCACACTTTCCCGAGCGTCCCCTTCGGATTTTGAATTTGTAATTGTGATTGTGCTTTCCTTCCCCCTCACCCTATTTCTCCCAGCCATTTTTTTTTTCTTCACTATTTTCCTGACATCCCCAGGTCCTTTCTTTTGGGAAGTGTTATTTTGGGATTGGGAGCTACACTGGGGTGGCCCCTCTGATGATGCTGGGGGACCAGATACCCTGCTGAGGATAGAACCGGGGGTCAGCCACGCTGTAGGCAAATGCCGTAGCCCCAGTTCCATCTCTCTGGTCCTTGTGTTCAGTTTTGTTTTTCAGCCACACCCAACAGTGTTCAGGGCTTGTCCTCTGAGCTCTGTGCTTGGAGACCATACCTGGAAGTGCTAGGGAACCATATGTGATATTGGGGATTCGAACCAGGGTCAGCCACATGTAAGTCAATCACCTTATCTCTTGTACTATCACTCCAGGCCATTTGTTCCTATTTAATAAACTGAGTGTGCCTGCTGTTTAAAAATTGTTGACAATCTTTTTTTTTCTTTTTTCTGCTTCTATGACTCTAATCCTCCTTCCTGTCAGCCCTGGGACTTGGTGTGCTCCATTAACCTCACCCCATCAGTTATGATTTTATAGACATATCTTTGTTTATCAGTCTCTTTGCCTCCTGCCAAGGTCTAACCTTTCCTGGGGTTTAAGTTACAAGGGATAAGATGGCTGCTTCCTTTGTATTTCTTTTTCTTTTCTTTTAGAGTAAGCAGGAATTGAGAGCTTCCCAGGAGAATTTGGTTTGCCCAACTCCATGGTGCGTTTAGAGGATGCCAGTAGTCTCTCAAATTCAGTCATGGTTCCTTGTATTCTTTGGTGGCTTGTCCTGCAGCCCACAGCAGGGGCCTGTGCCAGCAGTGGCCTGGTGCTAGCCAGCTAAAGGGTTTCTGTCCCCAGCTCATTGCCCAGCCACCACCTGTGACATTCAGCATCTGGGTACCTGCAGGAATATCCCGTGTATGTGTGTGTGTGTGTGTGTGTGTGTGTGTGTGTGTGTGTGTGTTTAGCTCCCTCACCTCCCCAGCAACTACTGTGCACAAGTGTGGCAAGTGGATTACAAGAGTGCCCTGGTGGGGGCCAGAGAGATAGTACTGGGGTCAGTCATGGTGCCTGCCTTGTACGCGGCTGACTCCAGTTCCATCCCTGGCACCACATATAGTCCCCGAAGCACCATCAGGAGTGACCCCTGGCCACAGCCGGGTGTGACCCTAAACCAAACAGAAAGAGTACGTGTTTGGGGGTAGTTGCAGACTCTCGTGCGTAGGGCTCTGGTGTCAGTCTCTGACACGGCCTGTGCCCCACTCACCCATCGGTGTAGTCCTGCTTCCCGCAAACCCCTGCTGCTGACCTTGGGCAGCTCCTGGCACTGATGCTAAGCGTGCGGCAGGAACACGGGGTGGAGCAGTCCTGCGAATGACACTTAACACCTTCTCCTAGATGTTTTTCTGGAAAGGACCCCAGAAATAATAATGATTATAAAAATATTATTATATAAATATAATAATAATCTGCATTCAGGAATCACTCCTGGCAGGGCTTGGGAACCCTGTCTGGTGCTGGGGATCCAGCATGGGTTGACGGAGCGTTCAAGGCGAGCTTCCTCCTCACTGTACTCTCTCACCCTGTAGCTCTTGGAAGTTAAGATCCATGCTCTAGGCTCTTGAACTCACAATTCAGAGAAAGACTTCATTAAAGAGGTTCAGAATTTTGGCAATCAAATTACCTAATCTCAGAACTCTTGATTTACAGGCTTTTTTTTTTTTTTTTTTTTTTTTTTGCTTTTTGGGTCATACCCGGCAATGCACAGGGGTTACTCCTGGCTCTGCTCAGGGATCACTCCTGTCAGGGTTTAGGCTGCTGTGTGTGTTGCTTGGGATTGCACCTGGCTTAGCAAGGGCCTCACTGTACTACATCTCTCTGGCCTGATTTACAGAGGTTTTCATGACTAGAACATAGATTTTTTTCTAATTGTTTTGTTTTAAATTTTATTTATTTATATAAAATGCTGGAGTGGTGGGAAATGAAATAACCTGACTTTGTGTCACCTGATCTGTCCACTGTTTTATCTCTCTGGCCCTACAGTCTAAACAAATTGTGGTCCCTTGAAGATGATAAAAAAAAAAAGCGGTGTGTGTCAGTCATCTGAGGCACATGCTTGAATAGCAGCCTCTTAAAGGCGCTCTAGACACTGTCACCCTGAGGGAACTGACTATGAGGCACAGCTGTTCTTAACCGGCTGGAGAGAAGCAGCTCAGAACAACAGGATGTTCATGGTCCTCTTAACTATGCTACTGCTGACTGTGTGTGTGTGTGTGTGTGTGTGTGTGTGTGTGTGTGTGTGTGTGTGTGGTTAAAGCACAGGTGCTGACACAGGTCCTCTCCCACTGGCTTTCATGTGAGCCTGCTACTGTGCTGCCCAGGCAATGGATCAGAACTTCATCGTTCAGGTCAGACCAGTGACGCGCCATGCCGAGTGCACGCTCCACTCTGGTTGGTGACCGGATGGCGCTTGGCCTTTCATTGCCGTTGCTCTGACCTTAAAGGGCAGTGTCTCTCAGTATTTGTTGAAGATTGAGAGCAGGCAGGTCCTGTCCTGGTAATGGATCTTAGACACCCGCTGCCACCAGAATAACTCCTCACTTAGTGACAGTGGGAAAGGATCACGCTGGACAAGAGCTAAGTGCTGAAAGGAGGCAAAGGGATAGGCATGGTAACCTTTCAGAATCAGTATTGGAATTCACAGTGGCTAAAAGGAATGGGGGGGGAGGGAGGGAGGGAGGGAGAGAGACGGGGAGGGGGAAGGAAGAAGAAGTGGTGAGTGGGGGGGAGGGGGGAGAGGGAAAGAGAGGAGAGGGGAGAGAGAGAGAGAGCGAGAGCGAGAGCAAGAGAGAGAGAGAGAGAGAGACCGGGAGTATTGGTCATGAGAAATGTACACTGGTGAAGGGACATTGTATGACTGAAACCCTATCAGGAACAACTTTTAACTATCATGATTCAGTAAAATAAATACAGTATGCTAAATCACATACGCGTGCTGTACACACTCACGCACACACACAGTAACTCGACAGCCATTTCGACAGGCAGTTCGCTTTCTTTCTTTTGGGCCACACCCAGCGAAGCATTAGTGCTCTCAGCAGTTTCAGCGGCAATTTTTATTTATTTCTCTCTGGGGGCCCCCAATCCCTGCAGACAGTTTAGAGTGGGGGCCCTAGGATCAGTGCTGCTCAGCCCCTGTGCTGCCGGGGATCAACCCTGGGTCTGCACCTAACTGCTCTCATATCTCCCGGTTCTC